GTGTGTGCGTGTGTGTGTGTGTGCTCAGCTGTCAGCTCCATGACGACACAAGCAGCTGCTATTATTAGCTTAACTTTGATCCAGCTTTGTTCACTAATAAAACTCTCTTCACCTTCGTGCTTCGAGTTTTCAGCTCCTGACAAGCTGAGCAAAAAAAAGATCAAACACGTCTTCTTCTTCTTCTTCTTCTTCTTCTCCTCCTCCTCCTCCTCCGCCATCGTTCCCGTCAGCGTGCCTCAGACTCAGAAACGCCGCTGTAGTTTCTTAGCAACCACTAGACTCATGAAAAAATAATGAAGCAGAGTGAGAAGGTGCTGTAATCTGTGTGCTTCCTGCAGCGAGACTCACTGAAAATAACTGTGATTTATTGGACTCTGAGGGGTCAGAGGTCGAGCCTCAGCCGTTCCCACAGCATCCAGCGAGCGTCCGACGCTGTGGCAGCGATCAGACGACTGGAACCGACAGCATGAAGTTGCTTCTGACTCATTTTAGCAAAGAAGAGCATCGGAGAAATGACTGGAGTTATTAAGTCCAGATTTCCCAGAAGTCGCCGTTTTAAGAGACAGATGAGCTAAAAATACTGGGAAATGGAGCAAACAGCCTGAAACGAGCTAAAAATACAACCGAAGAAAAGAAACCAGCAAGAGCTGTGCTCAGTTTTCACCTAAACAAAGAGAAACACAGTCTCACAAATACCGCTGTGAATCAGGGCATTGCAGGAAAAAAGCCGTACATTTTTAGATAAATCCTAGAAATTTTCTAGCAAACATTTTTGAGATTTCTGAGTTTCAAAAATTAAAAATGTTCAACTTTGGAAAATCAGAAATTTCCATGTTTTTTCTAGACATTTTCAGAGTTTAAGCTCAATATTTTGGAGTTTTTTTTCTTGCACATTTTTGACTCCAAAATTTTCTCTTTTTTTTTCTAGATTAATTTTTAAAAATTCTGTGTGTGAAGCTGGTGGCAGCATGATGCTGTGGGGAAGCCGATCAAATGGAAAAAATCTGGAAGAAACAGAAAAAGATTTTAGACTGAAGCAGAGGTTCACCTCGCCTTTTGAGTTGAGTGGCCTAGTCAAAGTCACACTTAAATGTATCCAATCTGATTTATTTGAGCTATTTCACAAATATATTATTTCTAAACATTTTAAAAGCATGTGTAATTTTCTTTATTTCCCAACAGGGCATGACTGGTCTGTCACATGAAAGCCCGACAGAACACTCTGAAGTTTCACTGTGAATGTTTCAAACACAAGTCAGAAAGTTGTGAAGGAGGAAGAACTCGGATCATTCCAGGAACAGATTGACTCTGAGGTTCTGCATCAGATATAAAACCGTTTTTCCCACGGCTGATGGAGAATTTTACCTCTTTAAAGTCAAATCTCCTGTTTGATTCGAACAGTTTGCAAAAAAAACCCCGAGAAATGAGCCGAGATGGAGAGCGGTATAGTCCAAGTCAGGATGAGACAACGATGCAGTGAGTGTCCAGATGTGGATTGACACGGCAGACATGGCGCCCTGAGGAGGGACAAGCTGCAGAGGGGTGAAAGGTCAGGATGATGGAGTCAAACATCTTCCTGCTCGGTAGGTGAGGTTTGAATCAAGGGATGAATACAAATACACACCACACTTTTCAGATTGATATAAAGAAAAAATGTTTTTAAAAATAAGACATTATTTGTTTTGTCAGATAAAATCCGTTAATATGCTGGTGTTTATGAAAATGTCAAACTCCCAGAAAAACAACTGAATTGTGTTTCTGTGAATTTTAATGTTTCAAATTGAAGAGTTTAGTTTTAATTCTGAATTTTAGTGTGTAATTTAAAGCTCTTGGATCAACCTGTTTCTGTTTTAATTGCACTGTAAAAACTGACTGCTGTCTGTTTCCTCAGCGTTGAGTCGCATCGTTTGCTGGAACAATTTTTAACTGCATTTGAGGAGAAATCGGAAACAATAAAGCAGAAAAAGAGATTATCCGGATGTTTCCTCTGTGTTTGTGGAAGCCGTAAAGTCGGCATATGTTTGCTTTTAAACGCAGATTTAGAGTTTCAGAGCCGACTCAGTGATCAGTGAAGAGCTTTAAACCGTCCAGCTGCTCCTGCCGGCAGAAGCTGCTCATTATGGACGAATTAAACGAGCCGCAGCGAGCTGTAATCACCGTGTGTGTGTGTGTGTGTGTGTGTGTGTGTGTGTGTGTGTGTGTGTGTGTGTGAAATGGGCGCTCTGCAGTAGATGCTCTGGCTCCTGTTGCTAGGCGAACGCTGGCATCAGAGCGGCCTCAGCAGCCAATGGCGTTGGAGGAGCAGAACTCCTGACCAATCAGGTGCTGCGCTGAGGTTCAGGGTCCAGCTGATTTCTCAATGGGGTTCTGAAGAGCCGGACATCAAAGCAGGTATCTGCAGTTATTTTCACACACACACACACACACACACACACGCACACACACACACACACGCACACCTCCACACACACACGCGCACCCTGGTGCTGCTTTGACTGGGCCGTTGTTGGCTGAAATGATCTGTAATTCTGTATTTTTCATCTTTTCTTTCTTCCTTCTATTTTGTCACTTTTCGGCTCATCTCTAAATGTTTGTGAAAGAGTTAAAAGATTTTAAAAAATCATTAAATCTGGTTTTATTGTGTGAGGCAGTTTTTACTTCATGGCAGTAATTATTGCTGTATTTATTAATGAAATCAGGGATTCAGTTAAAAACACGCAGGAGGATCTCACTGCGAAAACGAGTTGAAGAATTTATGTTTGCTTGGATTCAATTAATATTAAATTATTTACTATTTCTGTTCTCATTGTTAATAACATAAAGGAAAAGCACTGAACATTGTCAGACATTAAATAAAATAGGTCAGTACTGACATTAATGTAAATATTTTATTCCAGTAAAGTCAGTGAACTAATGCAAACTCCTTTCTTTATTATAGTTTATTGGGTTTTAAACGTGTTCATCATTCTAGTTTTGCATTTTATTAGTAAAACTTTTTCTGGAAAATGATTTTCCAACCAGAAACAGATTTCAGATTCCTCCAACAGTCACAAAAACTAAAAACCTAAAAAACATGAAAATGTTGCAACTGGAGCTGAAATTCAAACTGACTTGTGACGAATTATATTTCCTTCCTAATACATGCTGAACTTTGTTTGATTTATTGAAGTTATTGGTGTTTCTAAGCAGCTTCAACCAGGAAACGTTTGAATTTCTGACATTTGGATCATTTTAAATGTCAAACTTTAACGTCCACTTCAATCATCACAATGTTTGCAGATTTCTGTGGGTTTAAACATCAGATTTATGTTTAATATTCAGATGTTTTGATATTTCTCCTGTTTCTGACTGCTCCGTCTCCCTCCTCGTGTTTTTACGTCTGTTTTTTTCCGCCTGAGTGTTTCCAGCTATTGTCCTCGTTCCTTCAGCTGAACCTGCTTTAAATATTCACAACATTATGTAAGATTACGCAAGAACAGAGGGAGTGAGGGGGGATCATGGGAAGTGATGAATATTTCACACTCGCTCCACGAAGAGGCTGGAAATAAAAACCCTGTGATTGTTCACTTCTGTAAGTCGGTTTGCTTTCTGCTCTCCCAGCGGACTGTAGCGGACGCTCACTGTAAAAATCACTTTTCACACCGTCATAAAATAACGCATGATGCTAAAATTTAGCTCATAAAATCAGTGGCATGAAGACAACATTCAGATCATTTTCTGGAGAGAAAGACGTTTCAAAGTGAAAGATAATGAGAGGAAACGACTGTTTTAATTTAACACATAAAACTCAGTTTTTATAATTTTATAAGTAAATGGGATTTATTTAGCAGATATTAATTTGTTGAACATTTGTCCATGTCTTTGCACTAAATTATTTCTTGTAACTCGTCTAAATAAATCCCGTTTTATTGCTGGTTTTTAAGTGCAGCTCTGAGGAACTGATGGTCGGCCATCTTGGATCTCTTCATGTCCTCCAGAATGAATCTGTTCGTTTCCACGGCGACTGCCTTCAGCTGATCGTTCAGTGTAACATGGAGAAGATCCAGCATGAAAACAAATCTCATTTCAAACAGTAAAATGTCAGAGAAAAAAATTAAATAATTAAGAAGTAAACAAAAAAAACATATTTCATATCCAAAAGGAAGAAGATGAATCTTGTCTCATCCAAATTTTTCCCATATTAAACACATTTACACATTTAATGTTTACTCCACATCATAATTTCTACTCTTTTTAAATTATATCTGTACAATTAATTTATTATTATTCAGTTACGCCACTTTATGATTCACGTCATTCTGCCAGAGATTTTAAATATTATGACGGCATGAAGAGATTTATTGGTTTATTTTTATTTTAAACTTTCTGAAGGTGAACCTGATCCTGTTTATCTGATTTTATGTATAATTTGTTGATTCAATCACCAGAAACTCTTAAAGGAAACCAAACGTTTGTTCATCTGGAGTTTCATCTGCTGAAATATTTACTGAAAATAAACTCAGATGTGTCAGAAGTTTATGTCAGGAAAACCAAAAGGTTTGACCCAGTCAAGCCGTTTTAAAGACCGTAAACTCTGGTGCTTTTCAAGTTTCAAAAAAATGTTCTCACCAAGTTTCCCGGATTTTAAAAAATATAAATAATTTTGATAATTCTAACTAAACTAAAACAGGAAATGTGATTTAACTTCAAATGATGAGAAAAACGTCTTTTGTGTCTTTTTATTCAGTGTATGTAAACATTTGGTTGCAACTGTATGAAACAAAAATCTAAAACTTGTGTTAAAAACCGAGTGCAGCAGCAGAAGTGGGAGAGCCTCGCTGGTAGGAAGCGTCCTCTGGTCTCTGCAGAGTGATGCTCTGTCCTGGAACGTCTCTGACAGCGCTCAGGGTCTGGAGACAAAGATCCAGAAATGAGAGATGCTTGACTCCGTCTCCTGACCCTCTGCCGGGTCTGCATGCTGCTGATAAGCGGCCATGCTTCTGTGCTTTCATGCTTCGAATCGTATCAAAAGCACATCCTGGTGTGTGATCGGGTTTTTTAATCACTGCAGAGCTAAATTCAGATAATCACTTTGGCATTCTGTGTCTCTTTCCAGTGGATGTGACAGAAATGAGTCCTGTGTAATTACAGCCTGTCTTCCTCTTTTATCTGAAATGTTCACACTCACATCGACTGACGGAGGGAAATTTGTAACAACACTCAGCAGAGACAAAAGCTTTCTCTTCTCCATTGTGCTCCACTGTAAGCCAGCTTTATTCTGACGGTTATCAGGCAGACGTGTGTGTGTGTGTGTGTGTGTGTGTGTGTGTGTGTGTGTGTGTGTGTGTGTAAATATATATATATATATATATATATATATATATATATATATATATATATATATATATATATATATATGTGTATCTCTCCTCTCAGTAAATAGAACTCCCT